AACTCGAACAGTTCATACTAAAACTCATTCGCGAACAAGCAGGCATCGAAGTACCGGATGTCGACGCCGATCTGTTTGCCTCAGGAATAGATAGTTTACGTGCCGCCCAGATCCGCAGGCTGCTACAACGCGATCTCGATCTCGGCGGCCATTTGTTACGCACTAATGTTGTCTATGATGTAGGATCTGTAGCGAGGCTGGCCCGACTCCTCTATTCAATGCGCGCCGGGGGGGAACTGGAGAATGTACATGCAAGCGACGAGGATGAAATTAAGAATATGGAAAGGATTATTGGCGATTACAGTCAATTTCAAACTTGGTCACCTGGGAGCTTGCCGACGCCAGAGAGAGATGTCGTGGTAAGCCTTTTTCTATGACTCCCTTTTCTGGCTCTTTCTCTGTGCCTGTGGAATAACATATCAATATAGATACTCACGGGCGCGACTGGCGGTCTCGGCGCGCACATACTAGCTCAACTCCTCGACGACCCTAAGGTAGAGCGTGTTATATGTCTTGTTCGCGGCAACGATGCGTTAGCTCGCATCAACGAGTCTATGAAGATTCGAAAACTCGATGCAGACATAAACCGCAACGGAAAGCTGACAGCCCTAACAACAGACAACCTAGGCGCTCCGAATCTTGATCTCTCGCCGGAGAATTATACAGACTTGCAGCAATCAGCCACTCTCATCATTCACGCAGCGTGGCCTGTAAATTTCAACGTATCCCTAACGAGCATGATTCCGCACATATCCGGGCTGTATAATCTCCTAAACTTATCTCTCCAGGTCCCTTTCCCCAGACCCGCGCGTCTCCTCTTCGCAAGTAGCATCTCAACCGCATTCCAAACCCCCACTCCAGCCAACGTCCCCGAGGGGCCCATACAATCCCTCAGCTTCGCCGCGCCAACAGGCTACGCTCGATCAAAGCTCATTGGCGAGCGGGTTTGCGCGGCAGCCGCGGCGTGCGGCGGTGCAATTGGGGTCCTGCGCATCGGACAAATCTCAGCCGATACCGTCCACGGGATCTGGAACGACAAAGAAGCCATCCCGATCCTGGTCCGAAGCGTACCGGAGGTCCGCGTTCTGCCTCGTCTCGAAGGAGACCACAATATTTGCGATTGGATGCCGGTCGATATCGTAGCTCGTGTATGTCTGCAACTTGCCGAGAAACTCGATACAAACACGGACAAACCGGCATTTTACAATATCAAACCGCCGCATCAATTCTCTTGGAACGAAGGTTTCCTGCCGGCCTTACGGAAAGCAGGCTTGAAATTCGAAGACGCTGGTTTGGGAGAATGGCTAGCGAAGTTGCGCTCTCGAGCTGCGGAATTAGGACTGGCTGCCGAAGCGAAGCTGCCTGCCGTCAAACTTGCCGACTACTACGAAGATACTTATAGCGGTTTAGGTGTTGGCTTGGGGCCTGGTTTGAAGTATGATATCGACAAGGCTTGCCGTGATAGCAATGCTCTTCGTTCTTGCCCAAACGTCTTGCACGCCGACCTTGTGCCAAAGATGTTGCGGCATTGGCTGGGTGGCACTTCTGTTGCAAAAGGCCAACAGTGATGAGATAATCAATCACTCAGAGAACAGAGTAATCATCCCTCGTCATATACTATAACAAAAGAAGAGATATAAGATGAATCAGGGGTATCATTGGGTGGAATCTCAAGCTACTGACAACATGACGGGTTTAACTATAGATCCATGACGTGTTTATACAGAAGGATGGACGACCTAGTTTTAATATAGTTAGTACTGCAATTCAGAAGAGGCCTCAATCCAGGCCTAAACTCCAATAAGTGCCAATGGGGAGAATAATCGTTACAGTAATCACATCATATCGGTATCAAAACCCATAACACCTAATCATAACTCGTCACCCACCCATGCAGCTAATTCTCGTCATTAATGCCTAATCGCCTCGACCCCGATAGTTACCCATCTTCTCAATCGAACTCATGATACCGCTCCGCATAGCTGTGCCACTACCGGGACGTGGAAGACCCCCCTGAGATCCGCCATTTCTACTCCGGTCGTGGGCAATACCTCCAATCCTGCTCTCCATTGGTTTTTTCACCGATCCGGGGGCTCTGAGGCCAGATGGACGGCTACCGATACTGCTACGGAAATTCTCGGGACCAGTATGCTGGGTTTTGGTAACAGTTGGTCGTGATGGCTGTGGCTGCGGCCGCGGCTGCGGCGGTGGCTCTGCTTGGACGAAACTCTGTATGGACATCATCTCTTCAGCCAAGATAACAAGCTCACCCTTCTCGACGCGTTCCTTTTCGAGGAGTTGGCGGAGCTCGTGATTATCCGTCTTGATACTGTCGATGACCGCTTCGAGTTTCTCGATCTCGGCGCCCATTTCCTTGATTTGCGCCGAATCCCTGATAGCTTGAATCTTACGCTCTTCGTCCGCAAGGGTCTGATCAGGATCAACCCTAGCCATAGTAGAGTCCCGTCCATGTCTCAGTTTCTCATTCTCTTCGACGAGTCCTTCAACTCTGGACTCAAGTTCGTGGACCTTCTTTTCCCACCGGGTTTCGTAACTCTTCTTCAGAGCCGCGACCTTGGCCTCATGCTTGCCCTTGTATAGCACGTGTAATTCACGAGCTACACGTTCCACAGCGATTTCGACCTCGCGAGATCCGGGATTCTTAGTCTTGTCCGGAGACTTATTGCCGTTCTCTGCTTCCGAGGTAGCCTTACCGGCACGCATACCTGCCATTTTGCTCTCTGCTTCCTGAGCCATCATCTCGGCAGCCTCGCGGCGTTTCTCGCTTTCATCTAGTTTAAACTCAAGTTCCTCGCGTTCTCGTTGGCTCATTACAATTTCTTCCTTTACTTTACGGAGTACGCTCTCCATCTCCCGGCTACGCGCCTCCCAGTTCTCCCTTTCTTCGGCCATTGCTTCCTTCATAGCCCTTTCTTCGCGAAGTTGTTCCATACTCTCGCCTACCCGTTTTTCGGCATCGCCTACCGCAGTCTTAAGTGCCAAAACCTCGGCCTCTTTGCCGCTGAGGGTAGCTTTGAGGCTGCTGATTTCGGAAAGGAAGCCTGACTTGAGTGATTCTAATTCCCTAGGTGTCACGGTAGGTATACTGCGGGGCGTAGGGAGAGGTGGAATATCAAAATCGAGCAAGTTTGACTGTTGGCGCTGAGGCGTCGCAGCAATAGAATGTCTCGGATTCCTGTCGAATGACTGACTCCGGTTTGGCGTTTGTTGCGAATATCTAGACGAGAAACCACCCAACTGATCTGTAAAGTCCATGAGGAGATTGGTGGTGTTTCCGGATTCGTGCATAGCGGGAGGCCGAGAAGTCCTCTGAGGAGATGGGTCCGGTTTACTCCTCGTAGCGAGGGGAGTAGCATCCGTGTTGGCAAACTTGGTAGGACTATGCCCAATGCTTGCAAACATAGTCATGTTTGGCACTGCGGAGAAGTTACTAAGGGTGCTAATCATGGTATCGTCTGGACCCAAGGATTCATTCCCAACTGGTTGGTCGCCAACAGACGTGGACGTAGTGTCGGCTTCGTTATTCTCGCCATCATCCAGTGTTGTATCGTCGTCCTCAAAGATTTTTATAGCGTTTACTAAGCCCTCATTTCGGAGAAGCGCTTCGTCAATTGACAAATTGTGCTCTTGAATGGAGTGTCTTTTGGTATCAGTTGTTGGGGATGAGCTGCTGTTAATTTTAACTGGGAAACGTTTCTCAGGAGATATCCTTCTTGAACTCTTAGCAGCCGCCAACTTCCTAGGTGTCGGGGACTGTTCTTCGGCAGAATTTTCTTTCGTGATTAGAATCTTTAAAGGGGACAATTCTGTGCCGGACAATATTCTAGAGTGTCGAGACTTGGACGGAGAAAAGTTCTCATGAGTAGGGCCGACCTTATCTCTTTCCTCGCTCGCCTGGGATGAGGCTCGGGGACTCGACGCATCGTGATCGCTACTCATTTTGGTAGTATATGTGTTGATATTGTAAATATCGGATTGAGAGATCGGGTTCGTTGAAGGCGTTGCAGAATTCAGCACACCGGAACTAGAAGTACAAAGCGGTGAAGCCATTCAGGCCCATGAAAAAGGCGCGCTAATTAATTCGCCAATTGATTGTTGTCAATCCAGGAAGTTAAAAAGAGTGGTGAAGAGATAATAGGGATTGGAGGCAATTACTTGGGATGTTATCTTGAATCTACAATTTAATGCAAGGTAAGTTTAAAACTTACTAAGGTACAACATTGAAGGTTGAAAATCGCAAAGGTGGAGGAGGGTGGAGGAAGAGCGGAGGGTGCCGGAAATTGATTTCTTTAATTGTGCCGAATTTAATTGTTTGTTCATTTCTGATTGATGGTTGACGGAGAAACGGTGCCAAAGCGGTGTTACCCGTGCGTCCTGTGCGTCAGTACATCCACCTACGCAATCCCTGCAGTGTTACTCAATTTAGGGCTTAGCGTCACCCCTTTGTACCACGTGAGGTAACGAGGTAACGAAGTAACGAAGTAACAGGACAAGAGATAGCGCGTTAATTATGTGATCAAGGCCGTTCTTGTCATTTTTTACTGTCCATCTGCCTTATCTCGCAGCTCATAAATACCTAACCTAGCAAAGTTTTGATGTCGCCTCCAGCGGAATGATATGAATTAATGTAATAAGTAATATCTGGTTACACGATAACGGCGCTACTTCCGCCACCATCATCACCACCACCAAACTAGCCTGCCCCTTTTTCTTTAGTCAAATAAAATTCAACTCGCCTAGCGCCATGCATTTGTGCTCATGTAGTGTACCTATGTATGTCTCTCGCTCTCTCTATACCACGTTGGGCGTTGGCGTATCCATACTTACCCTATATCCATACCACTAAATAGATTCGCCAATTTTGTATTTTGTATATTAAAAAAATTAACGGTCCAATGAAGCATGCAACAAGCTGAACAAATGGCACTGTGGCGGGTAAGTCTTACGATAGCATGAAAAATTTAATGATAATATTCTAATCTTCTTTATCAGAGTGGTCTAACGCGTGTGACTCGAAATCACATCTCTTCGGAGGCGCCCGTTCGAATCGGGCCAGTGTCGCTCGCATATCATTTTTGCTATGAATCTTTCTTCTTCTTCTTTTTTTTTTTAAAAAAAAAAAAAAACGTCCCAAAATACCAAAAGGCGGTGCTTGAGTTTGTAGACATTCATTGTATGCTACAGGCTACCTATGTATATATATGTGTGGAGGTAGTATTCAGCCATGATATCTCCCCTGTCTTGAAATAGCTGCATCTAATACATGATTGTTACACCTCATCCTGCCAGGCTTTCCTCTATAAATACCCCCCTTCAAATACCAGAAAGAGATACTCGCTCTAGTATACCAAATTACATAGCATCTAGCTAGTTCGACCTTAACGTACGCCTTCGCTTTGCTTTTGGCTGCTCTACTCGTTCATCCTCAGAATCATGCAGAATCTCTTGTATGGACTCTCTATCGAAAAAGTCCAACTCCTTCAAATCTTGCACCTTCCAATAAACCCACCAGAAACTGTATTATACGACTGGTTAGAGCGGTTCAATCAATGCAGTCGTTCAAAGATTGGTTGTCACTTACGTGTGCTCACTAGTAGTTAACTGATCAATTAACCACAACGTCAATGGCTCACGAATCTTTTGAGCCAAGTCGTGGAATTGAGGCTCGTTATAAATACTTCTGATAACAAAGCTTCGTATGACATCTTTCACGGAGGCTTGGTTGCACGTTACTTGGTTCCATTCCCCATAGCTCCTTAGGGGACTTCTGATCCTTGCCGTATCTCGACTAGATACCAGTAAATGAAAATGATCGAGCTTGCGTGCCCTTATATCTCTGACAAACTCCAGGTATGGGCCCTGCCTGTTCCTCGGGAGTTTATCAAACCCGTCGAGCACTAAATACGTTTCGCCCGGCTGAACTGACGTGTTTGGTTCAGTAGACTTTTTCCGAGTCAGTTGGTCTAGGATTGTTACGAGAACGTCCCGGAGTTCTGAATTAGTGGGACTCCTTGCGGGGTGGTATTCCGTGCACGCCGTGTACAAATCTTGAAGGGCTGGGTATACGGTATAAGGCGGGCAAAGCTGGTCAATGACTGTGCGACAAAATGCGCTGAAATCGTGGTAAGCTGTTGCCGAGCCTCGATCAAGCACATCGTATGTAGCACAGAAAAAATAGGCCAGAGAGTCGCGAGATCGGTGAGCAGTTTCTAAGCGACAGCTCTGCCTTGTACTGTTTATGACCGAGCTGCAGAACATCGTTTTGCCAAATCCCCCTAGAGGTAAAATCAATCAGCTGTGCCGATTCCAATAGAACACGACGAAAATACGTGGACTCCGGGAGACGTACCATTACCCGTCAACCATACGTACGTAGGCTTGTCCGTTTCCCAAAAGTTGGGCTGACCTATTACTGATTGGTAGAACGGGGTTACCTTGTCTTGGATATCGGAGTGGTCCTTAAGGAACTGGGTCTGGTCCAGAGGAGAAAGCCAATGGTTAACATTTACACGTCGAGTATTATCCTTATTCTCGTATACTTCGCACTGAAATTAGACTTGTAGTGTGTTTATCTCTTCAGGTTGCTTACCGGTGCCCTCGCGCTGCTCATCTGGTTCTAGCAAGCCCCTCAGCCAGCGAGCAATATCGTCACGAGTCTCACATGTGACATAATTTAATGGCATGTGAGGTATTTCATTCCCTATGCTCTTGGGGAATAACACGTAATGGGTCGGACCTTTCTTTCGGTGAGACTCACCCACCCAATGCAGTAGCTGACCCCAATTAGGGTCATCAAGGCCTTCACCTGCTCCGACTGCATGTGTAAAGCATGCCAAGTTAGCCCTTTGATACTTCGAACACAACCAGAAATACCGTCCGGAGAATGCCGGCGCTGAATTGTAGGAACACTAGCTATTCCACTTACTATTATAAGTTAGCTAATGAAATAGGAGAGGAGAGAGGGCTAGATATGAGATATATCAGGTCCTAGCCTTACTTATACATACCCGACTGTGAGAAGAGAATTATTAGCTTATTATTTTCCCTGTAACGCGTTACTGAAGGTTTAAACAGTATAATTTTGCTTACTAGTAGACGTTAGTTAATGCAGTAAGCTTGGTGAAATGACAAAAGCCAACGGTTCGTCTTGTTTTAACGTACCATAAAATTGTTCTATTAGAAACTATATTCGTTAGAACATCCTGGACAGCACGGTCTCGGAGCACATCCTAATGGGGGGAATTATTGGGTTAGCATCCAAGCCCTACATGAACAAGGAAGCATGGCCTCTACTGAGCTACATGAGATACAGGGAGGATCAAATATTAGGACCATTCCACTCACTATAATATATTAGTAAATTTGGCTATAGATTATCCATAGCCCCCAGATGGACGAGGCCTTAAAAATATTATACGTACCATGGTAATTTCGGGCGGACAAAACAATATTATCGGGGTCTTTCCAGTGGCCGTGAGGATGAAAAACGCCATCTAAAGATTTCCGTTGATACGACAACAGGCCTGTTGTGTCGGTCCGTCCAACAGGGGGAATCCCACAATGCTTTTCGAGTAAGTCATCATAGTTAGTAGTTAGTAGCATCGCGCCATGTCTATGAAGTTGTCTTAGGCTGTCAAGAATACTTCTGTCTTCCGTGATGTCGTATAAAGTGTTAAATTGATGTTTTAGCCAGCCTGCAAAAAGGTCGGGGCGCTTGGTAAAAAGCTCTTCCAACCTGTTTATAGCTTCGAATTGGTCCTGTGTCGTGCGGTCTGGAAGGCTTAATAGCTCTTTCGCTCGGTCTATATCGCGTTTATATCGATCGAAAACACCTTTAGCTTGGTCTTCGACATATAGGAACCCGTTCTCGACAAGGCCACCCCACTATATTTCGTGAAAGCAAGACGTTAGTTTCATTTATCTGATAATAGCCATTGGTAGGTGATTATTAGTAATGCAGAAGAAAACTTCCAAGTTATACATCCGGAGCGAGCATAGGTATTTTTAATAGATTCCATGGAAGGAAATTAAACCCAAGTTACATACCCCCATACGTCTTCTCTCGGAGCTAGGGACCGCATGCAGGGTTACTCCAGATCCAACGCATATCGCTAGTTTCCCAGCCTTTAGTTCTTGTCTGAGCTTTTGTATAGCTTCTTCTTGCCTTCGATTAGCTTCCTTTTCCCTCTCGGCCTGTAAAGGATCAGGTTGTGGCGGTGGTGTTGATTGGATTGCTGGTGGCGATTGAGGCGCCGGCGTTGGTTGTAATGCTGGTGGTGACTGAAGTACAGGTTGTGGGCTTGGTTGTTGATGCGGTTGTGGTTCCGGCTCCGGCTCCGGCTCCGGCTCCGGCTCTGGCTCCGGCTCTGGCTCTGGCTCTGGCTCTGGCTCTGGCTCTGGCTCTGGTTGTGGTTCTAGTTCCGGCTGTGGTTCCGGTTCCGGTTCCGGCTCTGGTTCTGGTTCCAACTCTGGCTGTGGTTCTGGTTGTGGTTCTGGTTCTGGTCCTGGCCCCGGGGGTGACGGTGATACTTCTGGTTCTGAGAGCGGAGAAAACAGGTCTGAATCTGATTTTGGGCTTGGTTGTGTTTCCGATTCAGATGCCGCTGGCAGTATACTTGGCTGTGGCGCTTTCTGCTGCAAAGGTATTACCAAGTCTTGTGGCGGTAGCCCTCGCGGTGTATTCGGTCTCACCGGCCTTGGCCCAGGTTGGTTTTGGCTTGACATAATCAATAGGAAAGGTATATTACTTTCACCTTGAATGGTCTTAGGGGTATAAATGCGATATTCCAATTTTGGGAAAAGGACAACCATGAAATGATAAATTACGTTTACCTTGTGCTGCTTAAACTATATAGAGGACAAAGAACCCAGACATCATTCTAGCTTTACACTCTAGGAAAATGAAAACGGTTCTACGTATAAATAATTGTGTAAAGTAAAAGAGAAAGATGCCGGAAGCGGGTGTTACACAAGCAACAGGTACTTGGTAAACAATATACTATGGTTTATTACGCCCTATTGTATATCTTCCTCCTAATATCCTCGGCGAAAAAAATCTTTTCCCCCAACTTTTGACAATAGTAACTTTACCTTTGCCTAATGATCCTATATGTTATTAGGTACCTATTGCCCTCCACCTACCTCCCAGCCATCTAACGCGATTGACTTTATAGCGCGTTGTATCTTGCATTCTTCAGGTAGTCACTCTTGTGCTAAACTCCTTTGAATCTTCTCATTCCATTTGATTCCGTTCCACTTTTTCCGTTTACGCTTCTCGAGAAACATGTAAATATTGACCTTATGCACTGGTAAAAGATAGGACCTGGATTGAGCCACCCAGATTCTTCGTAGCATAGTTGAAGATACCAAAACGATAGCCCATAAAATAGGCCCAATTGGTATACATTTCGTAGGGTTCTCCTAACCCAGCAAATATTTGCCCGTCTGTGCTATAAGAGAAGTTAGCCGCGTAACTGCCGCCCGCGCGGGCGTCCAACGATGCTCGAAGCCATATAATCTTATCCTTCGGGACGTCTGCCTCCGTCGCAACAACATTTCCGAGACCAGTTGTATTCCAAGCAGATTCTTCTTGTGTGATATTATGCACGACGGATATCGTGTAGTCGGACCCGTCGCGATGAATACCAATATAAGCGGTTCGGTCGCGGAAAGCCGCAAGGCCGAACCGGTCACCGTCAGCCATGTTAGTAAAATCAACTTGAATAGTACCAACAGGGAACTCTCCATGAATGCGATGGGTTAGAGTATTGCGAGCGGCAAAAAGGTCGTTTGTCACGGTGGCAGTAGATAGGATCACCATGCCACCACCAACCCTGTACTTTTTCTCATCCGGGTTATGATTCCATTCCCAATCTGGGCCTAACGTATCATCATCAAACGTATCTGTGCGAGTCCATTCTTGAACCTCTGTGGTAGGAAGTGGTGCCGGATAGGATGATCCCCATCCACCGGATTGGTCGGCGATAAAATAAGGGAAACCATCATCTCCCCATCCTAGTGGAGCCAACACAGGCATACGACCATTTGGATATGCCCAGGTG